CGCTGACTTATTGGAACATTGATTTTCCTTTTGTTGGGCCCTCAATTGTAGGAAGTAAACATTTTCGGCGCTTTCAATTTATTAAAAGGCGCGTGAGGCAGCCATAAAAAGGTCAATGATTATTATGCCTCCCATGCAAATTGGCAGACAGTGTCCAAAAATAGTTGGTGCCCGGGTAAACAAGCCCAAAGTACACAGAGAAAAATATGGTTAAAGGTCAGAAGTAACGTTAGTACTTTGTGTTGTTTATATACAATAATATTTTTATTTTCACTGCGTTGAATATTTTTATATTGAAATAATCACTGTTGAATCTTATACTTATTCTAGTTAATGATTTTATAATTTATGTATTGGCATTAGACCACTAGAGCTGGTATTTTGCTAAGAAAATATACAATATTATTTATTTATTTGCCAAAATTTGTATTTTTTTTGACTGTGTAACTTTTCTTATTTTTTTCCGTGTCCCAATTTTTTTTTTCGGTTTTGAGAAGATTCTAAAGTGGGGGAGACTTTGAGCTGATGGAATTCTTGCGGTGCTTCATGCAGATGAAAAGAAACCACGGCAAAATAGACTGTCCCTTCTTGTTAGTTAAGTTCACTACAGTATGAAGCAGCATTAATATGGAAATTAAATTCGCAGTCAGGCATTGTGCGCTGCTCTTCCTGGCCATAAATCAACATTTAACACAACCTGAACATCCGCCGCTGTTTACCCAACGTTTTCAATTTTTTAACCAGTTTGTTAACCATTTCCATTTCCAGCTTTTCCAGCCTGTTTGCCATTATCCATTAAAGCCTACTTTGTAGCGCTTTAACTGCAATTAAAACCATAAAAAAACTGTGCATAATTAAAAAATGTTGGCCTCCTTATGACACATTAACATATTTGCGTGGGGCCATTATTGCCATAACTCCCGCGGTCCTGCTTTGATCCCTGATGGTTAATTTATTTATTGAGGCAAACAACAAAGGCGGATGGAAGATATGTGTGTACATGTTTGGCGAACATTCGCACATTTGCATTGCCAAAATGCGGACTGATGGACGGAACATGTTACATTTGCATTCCGCCTGCGAGTGTCCCATTGTCCAACTGCCGCCTAATTCGGATGCAGATTTGGTTTCGCAAACAAGCGATGCAGCTGCAGTTGCATTCGATTACGGTCATCGTATAATTGTGCAACGCTAATCAAAGTGAAATCGCTCTTTCGCCCGCCAGGCGAATCGATTAACATGCCAAGGGTATATGTCCAGATACATTTGTGGCTGCGGGGAGCAATCTGAACTACATGTTACGGCCATTACTATAACATCTACGACTGCACGGGCATTTGCATTTGCATGGGCATGGGCTATTGGGTATTCACAAAAATCGACTTCTGCTTCGAGCAAATTAAACAGTATGGAAAGCGCCTTTAATTGACACCAAGGTAACGCATAAATTTCAATTGGTAGCCTTCGTGTGTGACAAAGATACTAAATATCTGCACATAGGCTGAATGCATTCGGCAGCAACCGGAAACCGGCGGAAAAAGCTGAATAACACTGAAATAAAATATATAAATATTTTAAAAAACTCTTTATTTTTAATTGGGAGATTTTTAGAATTCTTTAATTAAATGTGTATCTTCTGAAATAGGAGCTAAATAATTTATTTTATTTGTTAAGGATTTAAGATTTATCAAAATTAAAAACAATTTAATTAAGTGCCATATGTATTTGAATATCATTTAAAATCATAAATAACAGCTGCTAAAAATGTAGAAAATTTATTACTTTTTCTTGGTGTTTAACATAAAAATATGTTATGAGACAATTTAAGCTTTGAGAACTTATGGCTACTTTCTATATTGCTTATATTCACGTACTTAAACGTTTTTTTTTCAAAGTGCAACTCGAAAGTTGGCATGTGTGAGAGAATTATTATCTTGTACTTGCCCATGTCAAAGAAAATTTGCATTTTTCGGTCTGACAAAGGGCGGCGCTGGGAAGGACGACGTGTAGACAGGACTCTCTCTGGTGCGGTGTCATCGTGTGCTAGCACTGGAAAAACCTATACCAAATTGTCTGCCACAATGGACTGACAAGGTGCTAGATTGCATGTGTGGGACTGTTTTAAATAGAGCAACAATGTGCAATGACAATGAGATGAGAGCTGCTAGCAAATGTGACACAGATACGAGCTGAAACTTTCAAATGTACAGACAAAACCATCGAGGGCTCATGTGTGGGGTGCTTGTGGCCTTCGCCAAGGACCCAATACCGTGCGATCTCTCTGCCTTTTTAATTAAACCAGTTCCCTTTGAACTCGAAATGTGCTGTGAAATGTTGTTTGTTGACAAATACTTTTAAAAACCAGAAATTTGATCGGTGTTAAGTCTTGACTTGCAGATTATTGGAGTTTGAAATTTAAGTTTAATAAACAAGACTTCTCTTTTTTCCCAATCCCAAGCTACACCTTTCCCAGAAAATTAATTAGATGAATACCTTAATCGCTTGTCCCTGTGGACAATTTAGGAAGTGCCGTTGAGTACACGACCTTGAGTACGGCATGAATGCGGAGTGCTCGAACCGTTTATAGCCCTCTGCAGACGCAACATGACAATATAATACACACCCATATGGTCGAGGGGACTTAAATCCCTTTACCGCCCCAATATCCTGCCCATCTGCCAATCCGCCCATATAATTGTGCGGTTTCTCAGCCATTTTTATGTGTTTTAATTTTCATTGGAGCACTAAAAACTTGTCAGCGTCGTCACTGTCAGCGTGTTCCCATTTCACGGGGGAGAAAGTGAAGGCGAGGGGCGCAACGCAGGCAACACGATCTTGAGGAGTAGAGGAGGCCAATAAACACTTTTATAAAATTCTCAAATCGCACGTGTTGCTTTTGTCAAGGGGTTGCCGTGGAAGTGTTAGTGGAAGTGGAAGTGGAAGTCGCCCCAACATGGAGACATACAATACAATAAAACTGCTAAGTGCATGGGCATGTTGTTGTGGCATATAGCTCCATATAGTTCTATTCGGCCCCTACTCTACCATATATATGCATTAATCGAGGTGTGCTGCATTTCGGCCGTAAAAACCAAGTGGCGAATGGGAGCACACTAAAAGAATAATTGCATTTACCTGAGGGGAAAAATTCCCTTAACTCTTGAAAAACTTGAAAATCAAATTCCTTAAACGAATTAAAGAAAAAACAAATTATAAAATTTAATTTATTTATATGTGCAACTTTTATTTAATAAATTAAATTTATTAACAAAAAAGTTTAATAGTTAAAACAAGAATACATTATTCTAAAACGTTTAAAGTTAAACGGTGTGTTGGCTTTCATAATTTAATTGTTTGTTGTATTATTAATAATTCACGCAACAAAGTGTTAATTTGAGTATTGAGTTTTGTTACTCTGTGTTTGGTTTATAAGCCTTAGCAAATTACTGATTAAAAACTTCAAACACACTTAAAGTGATCTTAGACGTTTTTTCTCTTTTGAATACAATAAATTAAATTCTTAATAATGCTAAAAAAGTTGAAATTTTGTAAAATTACAAAGACTAATTTCTTTTTATGTAAATGCATTGGCGATATTAGCTAAATTTTTTTTTAGTGGCAGTGCAAATGAAGGCGGCATCGATAAGCTGCCAGAAACTGTGCAGCGAGTGTGCCACATAAAAATGGCATTTGACATGGCCACCGGGTGGATGTGGATGATGGCGGGGCCGAAAGGGGTTGGCTAATGAGCATTATGAATGCTTGCCATGATGTCATTGCACTTGAGTGGATCTAGTTGTGTTCTCCTTTATGTAGGGGTAACCTTCACACCCCACCCATGACCAACTCCCACCAAAGTCTTACAAAACACGGAGCAATGAAAGCCGGAGAATTTGTTGCATGGGGGGTGGCGAAAAGTAATTGCAACTTAAACAAACAAAACGACGGAGCAGCGACCGCAGGGCGGAGGGCAAACAGTAGCAGTAACGGGTTAAGTGGCCGCATCCTCCAGTCGCCCTGAAAGGGTTAAGCTCGCATGCATTGTGCACATGCGGCTGAAGAGCCTGCCACTTGTGCACAGCCTCATTAGCAGGAACAAAAATACATTTCACAAAGAACTCACTTTGTTCTCGTTAAATTACACTCCGCTTTTTGATTTGTTTGCATTTCGGGTTCTGTTTCAGATCATTTGTTATTGTTTATCATTTTAATATTGGTTTTGGCAGTGCACGGCAAGAAACGTCGATCTTAATTCCCATTTAAAGTATTTCTTAAGCTTAAAATTTAGAGTATGTTAAATTGATGGATATGGTTATATTTTTGCAGTGGGCTGCTCTAAAACCATCTTTAGGTTCGACACATTTACACAAATAAATTAATTAAATAGATCGTTGAGGATTTGATAATTGTATAATTTGGTAATAAGCAATCCTGTCTATTAAATACAATACATTCTTTTTTAAAGATTATTATAAATAGTTAAAACAAAACCGCACTAATACAAAATTACAAAAGATTGTTTAAAATTTTTTTTAAATAGTTTAGACAAAACCACATTTACAAAATAACAAAAGATATTTTAAAGACCTACAAAAAATGGACAGAGTTGATCCAAAAAACTTTGACGCTCTCTTGTGTTTATATTTATGTTTTATATCATTTTTTTTTTGAAAGACTTGCAACATGTTGCTGTGGTTCCAGCAACATGCTGCCGCCGGGCCTTCCAGCTAATTTTGGAAAGGTTAACGCTGCGCCGCAGCCGGCTAGTCAGACGATGTCTTCATGTCTTTTGGGGTGTGTTCTGGGGGACCGTCCTGACAACTCCGCAGTCGGTTGTCAACTTGTCGTAGGCGCGGATTGTCGCTCCCGGGAAAATTCGGGATTCGGTTCGGTGTTCGCTTTGTTTACATGCCAAATACTTGCGGCCGGGGGACTGCGAAGGCTGTTCTATTTAATTACACAATAACTAAAGTTTGTTTGTTGTTCATTCCGCCTTGCAGAGCACTTCCGGGGCATAAAACAGCTGGACACAAGGGCCTTTTATGAGTGCGCGAAGTGAAGTGGCCAGCAGATACCAAATGGATGCCGTCTAAAATCAAAGAAACACAAATCAAGACCAGAGGAAAAACATCGGGGACGAGCAACAATTAACGGGCGGAAACCAAAATGTATAAACAATCAGCAAAATGTGCAAATTCGTGGAGTGCCAATCGAAAGCCAGCTTGAGTGAAAGTGAAAAACTGCGGCGCGCGCAAATAATTAATTATCCGGCTGCTTATTAGCGCAATTTTGCCAAGGCGGCGCAGACGTTCTGTTTATGGGCAAATTTGCCAAACGCAAATAAAACCGAACTGCTGCCAGTCGTGCATTAATAATTTGCATATTCCGTCCCATCCCCATCTCCACACCTCCCCCCAAAAAACAATCACACAGAACAGACAGTGCGGCGTGTGGCGTTGAAGTGTTTATTAAATTGTCTTCGCCGCAAATGCAAGACGTTTGCCCGACAAGCGGAGTAATAGCACTTGCCCCCTCGAAATGCTGGAGTTACAAGTTTGCGCAGATTTGTCAGCCGGCAACTTGAGCGAAATGGGACACCAAAAGGCCACGGATACGGCACATCGGCAGACCCGGAGAAAATTAGTCTGCCGGACTTTCCCCACCAGATTCCTTCTGCTGCTCATCGCCGTTCTACTGAGCATGGGTGAGTCCAGAATTTGTTTAGCCTTATTCTAATGCCAACAATAATGTTTACCAACCGGAAAAACTTCAAAGATGCCAGTTTTTAAGTCATCAAACAAGTACTCCTACAACATCTAAAAATCTCTTTAAATTGTGTCAGCGGTAATATAAAATTTGTAGTGTATTTGTGTATTTCAAAATAGTACTTTCATATAATAGTATATATAATATATATGAAATCAATAAAATAGATGATATTTGTATATTAGGTGGCAAATAAACGTATACGTACATTTTGTTTACAAATATCCTTTAAATGTTTTCAATAAATCGTAAGGCAGCATATTAAATATTTTTCGAACCGACAAATTTGAGGCCATTGAAACGCACTTTAGGAGATTCATTTGTTCAATTTAATGAAGTACTTGTCGGGCTTCCCCAGTTCTCCTCCGGGGCTGTCATCCCTTTTCAAGTGGCATCTCGGCAACTGGAAGGCAGAAACAGTGTCAACACAGTGCCACATTCGGACCCTAACTCAATTGGCTGCTCCACTTTTTGTTTTGCGCCAAGTCCGACGCTGCGGCTGCTCAATTAAGTTCTTCGATTGCGACTCTAGCTCCAAACATGTCCGCCAACCCTACAGAAGTTCGTACTTAAAAGAGTAAAATATATGTACTCAAGCAAATTTATACACAGAACAAATTCTAGTATGAGTTTTGTTATTTAATTAAGGATAAAAGTATGAACTAGCATTAAACACAGGTTAGATGCTGTCCTTTTGTTTTATTTTTTTACATTACAGGTTATTAATAAAATTACAAGCTTTAAAGTTAGTTAGTCAAACACGGCTTAACTTCATCTATTTGTTTTCGCAACTATAAGTACTATTTCTTCCTGAATGCTTGTTTTCTCAGTGGAGATACAAACAATCGATACTTGAAATGACATTCGAAACAACACTTTGGCATAATAAAATACAAATAAAAGGGACAGTGATACACAGACGGCAATTGATTGACGAAGTGGCAAAGATATGGCCATAGGGAAGTGGGAAGGGGAAGTGGAGAGTGCTGGGCAATAAAAGGGATTGACAGTCGGTTCGAGTCGCGTTCTTAGCGGTGGCGAGGTGTCGCACTGGCAGACAGAAAGGGGTTTAGTTCGATTCGGGTTGAGGTGGCCAGGGATCCACTCGAACGGCTGTCAATGGCAATCAGCGGAGGAATCAGACCCCGTACACACACTCCACTTTCGAGCAGCGCTAATGCTGATGCTGAAGGCTTGTAAAAAGTTTTTAATGACCCCGGCTGCCGTGTCGCCATGGCACAATAGTGCCCGGAGTCTAAACGAGTCGAATCGAAACGAATGGAGGGGCAATCCGCAGTACTTGCCAAAGCAAATCTGTGTCAGGCTGTTGCTCCATTACTCCGCTGCTAATGAACAGCTTAAGTAGCGCATTTCAATAGGGACATTCCCTCGATTGCAGCCAGTGCAAGCAATTTAGATATTTTGCGCCCTTTTCTAGTCATCTTTCAAAGAAAAAAGTCTCAAAAAACTTTTAGTTTCAAAGAAAACCGTTGGATATCATACTTGTGTGAATAAAAATAATTCAAGTTCAAATGATCTTCAAAATAATACTATTTTTACAAAGCCTTTACCATAGCCAATATATGATCTTCATTATTTGACATAAAATATTATAATTCCTTCAGTAATATTTTCAAAAATGTACTGAGCAAAAACCAAATGTTATAACGCATTCGCAATATAAATGTTTCTTTTAATTTATAGTGATATTTTAAAGAAAAATGTTAGAAAAAACAAAAAGTTGTTTATTTGTAATATCTTAAAGTTATAAAATATGAAATTACTGTGATACTATTCACAAATAATTTGTTTTCCTTTTGTAAAGCAAATGATACTCACTCATCTCTGATCTCCGATTTGAGAGCATATTTCGGCAGCCACTAAGGGGTGAGAATTTAATGGGAGTCGGGGCTGGGATTTTAGCGCCGTGCGTCGTGACTCTTTGAAGTGCCTTGTTGTAGGTCTTTTTCACTCCAAAATCCAGTGCACTCCAGTTCAGGGCATTGTGAGGATTGGCGGGGAAGTGCTTCGGCATCAGCAGAACGAAAATCTGACGCATCAGCCCTCTATTAAATGGAGGCCGCGGCGCTAATGGATAGGGTTAATGGGTTGGGGTTGGCAGCAAAGTGGTGTATTAGTGAAAGTGAATTAGAACCCAAAACGGACATCTATTGTTCTGATGTGCGACGAACTGCAGGCCATAACCATTCACCAAAGAAGTGCGGCTATAAATCAGTGCATTGAAAGCTGTGCGGATTAGTAATAAATTTCATTTGATTTTCCAGGGGATCGGGATCGGGATTGGGATTGGGGAGTTCATGGTCCGCCGACTGTGTAAACTCGTTTCCATCAATTTATGCTCCACTGAAAGTGCATAATAATCAGGGACATGGAAATATCATAAATCCCATGAGCAAACTGCTGGTATAATAACGATGGCCATTTGCTCACTAAAAACAAAATGCAATAGAACTATAATTTCAGCTCACTTGAATGCATCAAATAAAAACATAAAATTCTTCTTACTGGTCAATTTTATTCGGTGGAAATTAAAATTATTTTGGACTATAAAGTACTTAGTAAGAATCATTTAATCATTTTCATTGTAATACAGAAATATATAAGGAATACATTTTGAAAATAATGCAGAGTACTTTTTCAAAATAAAAAACATTTAATTATGTTTTTTCTTTTGAAAAGGTAAACTGTAGTTCTTTGTAATGTTAGCAGTACATAAAGAAAGTCCTACACTTTTTTTTTCATAAATTATTTGCAATTACTTCGCGACTGATTGGTTTTTAGCTATATATATCCTTGAATATAGAGATAGTTGTTGTAGTCTTCAAATTGATTGCGAACTACAAGTATAGTACCCCCACGGCGAGAACTCCCCACAAATGCATCAATTTCATCATTGAAATATTAATTGCAAAATAATATTGACAGGCAGCAAACAAATTACAAATAAAATATGTAAATTTCCTATGGTTTTGTGCTTGGGTAAAAAGCCAGTGGACCACGAGTGGGTGTGTCGGGACCAACATTTTTGGGCACTGATTATGCTAGTCACGCAAAAATTGCCAAAAGGTAAATCGAATAGGGGTTTTTTGGTTTCGCAGGGTGGGCTTAGGACCCGCGTCTGTATTTGTTTATTATTAATGCAATTTGTAGTTATTTGTTTCGGTGGCGTGCATATGCATATCCCATTCTCATTCCGATCTCGTCTGTTTGCCGGCTTGTTCTGTTGTTTGCTTGCTACAGCCATAAAACGCAATTATCGCGCACAAAGAACAAAGCCGAGTGCAGGAAAAGTGCACCTCTAACTATGTCCCCAACAATCCCCAAACCTAAAAATGTAGCCCGAAAAACCGAGCTGCAAAAGTTGTCGCCAGCTGATGCTGAATTTCGCAGTTTCGCATTTGCGTTGCCATAATTAACTTATTTTGTGCATTAGCAACAGATTTTGTTTATTAACGCATGTGCGCTTGCCTTCGGTAATGCGATACCATTCACCCAGCCCCCGAGGCTTTAATGCGTTAAGAGCTGGGTCCAGGGACCACGGGGTGTATACTTATCTTTTGGCATTGCGAAGTGAGTTTATTTGTTTTCTGTTTGTGGTTCTTGGGGCGGTGGGTGGGTGGCTTGGCATTCTCTGCGGCTGCTGTCGCATAATTTATTTATCATTAGCAAAATTTGGCAAGCATTGGAATGTTTTCCCCTCGTTTCCCCGATTCGTACCGCAAGACTTGGCTGTTGTGTCTGTGTATTTGGCTAAATAGTTAAAATAATTAGGCTCATTAGAAGTTTTGTAGGTTTCTGGTTGCGTAGCGCTGCCTTGATCGACAAGTGCAAATTGGTATTAATGCAGAAGTTTGGGAAACTTCAAAAGCCATTGGCAAAAGGGGAGCGGTATGAAAAGAGCCTGAATATAACGAATTAAATTGAAGTATTGTAGTATTAATTGAGAAACTTCAAAAAGAAAAATTTATTTTTCAATTAAAAGGGAAAACTGATCCAATACTCACCAATGATTGGTGCTCAGTTATTTATGTTTACGTTTTTCTAGTCCACTTTAAAATAAATGCTAATACTTTTGTTCGAATGTTACTGCGATATTTGTGCCAAGTGAGGCAAATGTTTTTCGGAAAATGAAATTTGCCGATATTTAAACTCCATCTGGCAATAGTTCACGTTTAATTAAGCAACGTTGCCAAAAAATAACTGGGACATATCACGACGACAGAATCGCAACTGGCGCCCCAAAAATACCACAGTTTTGTTTCAGTTTGTTTGGTTTGTTTTTTTTTCCTTCGGTTTTCTAGGTATTTCTGCTAGCGCCACTCCCCCAAATAACAAAAACTTGTTGTTTGCAGGGTCCAAGTGGAAACTGTGTGTGCAAAATGCAACAGCCGCAACAAAAACGGCATAAACTTTTAACAATTGCAAAACCAAATAAACAAAACGTAGGGTGAAACAAAGGGAAAACACTAAAAACTGCTGCAGGCTATAAATCTGCAATGGGCGGTGAAGAGGTGGGCGGGGTCCTTGTGGGGCGGTGGGTGGTGGGCGGTTTTTGGCCACCAGGTCCTTTACACAGACCCATTCACACATAAAAAGCAAACACTCACAAATTACGGAGAATGCGCCTGCTGCGTAAATAACTAATAAGGCTCGGGGATAAATTTCAAGTGCAATTTTGTGAGCATCGTAACCAAATACAACTCGAAACAAAACAAAAACCCACGGCCGCCGGCTGGCGGGAAAACTCGCACACAAAAGTTAAGCGTACTGGCTGCGTGCACTGAAAGTAAAGTCACATAAAGGATTATAACCTTGAAACATCAAGAGAGGGACTTCAAAATACATAAATTACTGGATAAACAGAAGTTGCATAAAAGTGTTAAATTGCTAATAATATATATATTATTTAAAACCTGT